GAGCGTCCCACAATCACCCAGAGGCAGGATTTAGACCCAGGGCTCCCACAGCAGGGACAACTGTGAAGAGCAAATACACTGCAGCTATGAAAAAGCTTGGCAAGATAAGGGGTTTGGGGGCACTTGGTACCAATTATAAGAGCGATGCGAGCAGTAGTTATGACGTGAACTGCGTTTCAGGAAGACGGGTCCCCAGCCTACTTGGTGACTCACACAAGTCAGAGGGGTTTCTGTTCCTTCTGGATCTGTGTTGTTTTTGTATGGTCGTGGGTCTGAGGAAGGAAGGCTTGGGTGTGGTGAGTGACAGTGTCGGTGCTTGGCCTGGATCTCTGGAGAGAAAGTCCTTGTCTCTCACACCCACCCCTCTGTGAGCTGGAGAGGGGTCCACTGCTTCATTCAGAGGCTTGGGGTGGGGTGAAGTGGGCAAGCTGGGACCCCTGGAGGGCCCTGTAACTTAAGAAGCCTCTCTGATTATATTATCCAGAGGAAATATGGGGAGCTAAATCGGAGAAGATGTCTGGGAAGTACATTACAGAACATTAAACAATAGCCGACCAGCATCAGACACAAATAAATGGCCCATAATCTACTGCCAAGAACATGATTGGTCCCAAGCAGTGGCCTGGCTGGCTTCCAGTCAGGGGAGTGCAGGGCCGGACACCACGTACTATAGGCCACAAAACGCCTGCCCTGGTCACATCCCAGCACCCACAGGAGAAGATTGCGGCACCCAGACAGAACTCATAAGCTTCCACAAGATCTCACTCTCCAGGACTGGAGGTGGGTCTTCTCTCCATCTTGTCCTGAGCCCTGGACCCAAACATCATCGGGAGAGTTCCTGCCTGCCTGAGAAATCCCATGTTGGAGAAGGGAAGCCACGTGTGTCTGTGGGCATAGGGTCGTTTGGCTCACACCCCTGAAGACAATGTCTGTGAAATGGGGTTCCCCTGGATCCAGGAAGCCTCATTCCCCAAAATGCGCAGGTTGAAGCTCATCTCACTAGAGCCTCCTTTAGCTTAGATCTTTAACTCCTGTTACAACACAAGTACCTCCAAAGAAAGATAAACCAGTACCCTGGCAAGTCATGCACCCTTTAGTATGAAGTCCTTGTCTCAATCGTTTGCTGAGAGCTTCAGGCACTGATGTCCTGAGGAGAAGGCAGGAGAGTGCAGAGGATAAAGACCTGAAGCTGGGTTTTTGGAGGCTGGGGTACAGGACCTTAAAAGCTACTATCACTGTTTATCCAGGGCCATAGCAAATTTGGTCTACGTTGGTAAGAGCCCTGGACTTAGAGTCAGCGGGCAGGGTTCCAGTCTCCAGCTCTCCCCACACCAGCTGTGCCATCTTGGGCAAGTCACTTAACCTCTCTGAGCCTTCATTTCTCCATCTGAAAATCGGGAGTGAGGCCACCCCCATCCTGGGTGCTGTGAGAGACTGAAGTGTGCAGAAGGCCTTTCATTCTATAAATATCACTGTCCTTGGGTCTGTGCCACCACATTCTAGAAACTGTACGACAACGGAGCCACATTCGTGGATGGACCCTGGGGCTGAGTCAGTGCACAGACCGCAGCGAGTCCAGCCAGGCCCGCCAAACCCAGGCCAGATCAGCTGACCCTTAGCTGATCCACAGACACATGAACTTCAACAATAAACAACTGTTGCTCAGCCACTGAGTGTTAGGGTGGTGTATCGGCCAGCAGGGGTTAAAAGACACCAAAGTCAGGGCTCCGGACACTTTAAATCTTAGGGCCATGTTCAATAGAAATTAATATATATGACACATCTCTGCCTTCTTAGGCAAAATGAAGTGAGTACAAGTCTGTCTTCACTGGGTCATTTCCGCTCATCACAGTGCAAACCAGTCAACGAGCGGTAAGTCAGTGGTGCCTTCAGGGGATACACACAGAATGGAGGCTCTAGAAATAGTTCCAAGCGGCTATCCTTTCCCATCTCAGAACTATTCCCTGGTTCTCTGCCATTTTTCTTGTAGTCAGTTTTATCAGCTGCCTTTGCTGTTCTTGTTGTCACCGTGTCTATCTTAAACAGCAGTCCCCTCCCCAAGCTGCTGTGCTGCGGCTACGTCACCCCCCTCAAGAAGCCTGCTCACTGAGCCTGCGAGGATGATGTCCCACGTAAGAGTTCACAGGCTTGGAGTGAGGGCCTGAGCTAGTTTTCTCTGTATCCAGGGCAGGTGCTTTAGTGCTGGGATTGCTATCATCAATTTTGGTCTCTATGATGTTTTTTGCTCCCTCCTCCACTCGGGGACCCGATAGTGGAGGCTGCCAGGCAATGAACATCTGACCCAGAGAGCTGGGCTGTGTCTAGCGTTGCTGGAATCCAGTCTCTTCTGAAGAGAGTGAAGGAAAGAAGCAGCCCACAGGCCTGTAAGAGCGCTTCCTCCGTCCCAACCCGTCTCTGGGGCCTGCGCTGCGCATCCTGCTTGTCTTGTGTCCCCTGCAGCCGCTTCGCACAGTGCCAGGCGCACTGTAGGCGCTCACTAAGCTACGGTGGGTGGGATGAAAAGACTTGCTGGTGGCACTTTTCACTATGTGCACAGGGCTGGGCTTCTTCAGAAGAGTTAAGAATCTGTGAGCTTCTGAATACAGACTATTTCACATCAGATTGTGGGAAACTACTTTAAAAGGATTAATGTTCTCCCGTGTTAAGGAACAGTTCCCGTTTCAGGGCGTAAGTTTATTTCTGAACTGTGCTATCAGGAAGCCCTGGTGACAAGAAGAAGGGGACAAAGCAAAGTGAGAAGCAGGAGGAAGCAGATGTCTTTTTTGCTCTGTTGAGCTGACACCTTAGTGGTTCCCCACTGTTTTACCAACTGTTTAAAGGGCACATTCCCCACCAGAAGACCTGGATGTAGCAGTTTACCAAGAAGTGCCTATGGACAGGTGGGCTACCTCTTCTCAGTTCCCTCTCCCTTCACTCAGCCAGGGGCTGACCCCCATGACTGCATCAAGGGGCTCCCCTGCCCCGGCTTCCGGTTGGGTTTGGCCGTGAGAGGCATTGCCAAGAGGTGGTCGGATTGGAGGGGAGAGCAGTCTTCTGCGCTTGCTCTCTGCTTTGGGTCCCTTTGGGACCAAGGCTCCTCTCAGCCGCCCCTCCTCCAAGGTCCCAAATCTCCCCAGGATCCAGTTCCCCACTTGGTCCTCTTGTCTCCTCAAGCCCCGGGGTGGTAAAGTCTTCCCTCAGCTGCTCATTGCTCAACCTTCCTTCTTGGTGCCCCTAAGCCCATCCACACCCCTGAAAGCGGGCCCCTCATTCCAGTCTTTTCTTGAACCATCGGAGTTACTTCTCCTTCCTGCTGTTACCCTGACTGGAATAGTCTGTACCACGTCTTGCCTAAGAGACGTCTAAGCTATGCCGAGGCTCTCTCGAGGGCAAGGAGCTCAAAGAAAATCAGAGGTCCTCTTCTCTCCAGCTTTTAGAACTCATTAGCCATTGCGGCTGTATCTAAATTAAGTGGTACAAAATGATGGCAGACTCCAATCTACAGATGAGAAAAGTTTTCATTCCTTCATGCACTCATCCACTCACCAACTATTTACTGGGCATCTACCCGATATTCCCCCATGTAACTAGTGATAATGGCCAAGACAGACACAGTCCCTGCCCGCGTGGTGCTTACAGTCTACCGCCAACCACCTGCCAGAAGCCAGAGAGCCCGCCAGAGGCAGGGCTGGGACCAGAAGACTGAGTTTCTTTGAGTCCTGAGCCTTTGGCAGATCCTCCAAGGAAGCTATGGCCCAAACAAGGTTAAGAACCACCAAGCAGACCCAATTAACTATGAAGCTCCCCCCCTGAATAATGACCCACTCACTCCCAGAAGCTTGGCGCTCTCAGCCTGAACCGGGGGTGGGACATGCCGGACGGTCCACCTTTCCTGCCCCCCACCTCCAACATTCTCCGCAAACTGCCGGCACTCCTCCCTCCCGTCACACGTTTATAATTAGCCCCACGCCCTCCTCTGCGTCCCTCCCTCAGGGCCCACAGATGCTGGCAGCTCCACGGGCCACTGAGCCATTCTTATGAATGGAGAGGGCTGGGGACTGCATCCAGAGCTGTGCCCTCGCTCCTGAAGAGCCTGCGCCCAGCAAAGGCGGTGGGAGTGAAACTTCTGCCTCAACTCAAGTACCTCGGAGCTGCGTGCTGGAGGGTGTGACGGAAACGGCTTTTTCTGGGGAGAGCCAGGGGTGACCGAGGAGAACTGAGGGGGGCTGTGATGGGACCGGCTGCCAAGCCTGGGGTCTGTCCGCCCCCCTCAAGCCCTCCGGAAACATCCGAGTTTCCTCAGAAAGCTTTAAAGAAGCCGTGACGGTAACCCAATACTTCCCCTGCCCGGGGCCGGGCAGGACAAGGGCAAAGCCTGGAGCCCTCAGGAGAGGTTGCCAGGCTGGGGCGGAAGGAGCCCTCTCCCCACCCCCAGCGCTACGCCCAGCTCCGGGCCCACCTGCCCCCTGCAGCCCTTCCACCTCCCCTCTTCGCTGAGGCCGAAGAGAAGCCCACCTCGGGGAGAAAGCCCAGCAGGAAAGCCCACGGGGCCGGAGAGACGGAGACCTGGTCTTGAGGCTGCAGGGGCCCCCGGACCCGGCACAACCAACGGGACTCCCTCCCGGTCAGCACACTGCACAGCATCCCCTGTGGGCCGAGCCCCCCGCGAAGGGTTCAGGGGTGTATTTATCGAAATGTCTGGACGACTCACTTGCCTTCCTCTCTGCCTCTGTTAAGCTCCCCACAATTCCCGACCCAAACGCAACCCTGCAGCCAGTGAGGGGAAGAAGCAGTCTGTTCAAGGGTCTCTGGCTTTGAGCAGCTGGGCGGGGACAAGGACAGAAGGGGCGTCCCAACGGGGGCTGGCCGGGTGACCGGAGGCTGCTGGGGCCGGCTCCCTCCCAGCCTCCCTCCACCCCGAGGGGAACGGCTGCAGAATAGCCCTTCTCCCTCCTCCTGCCAGACACTGGGGAGACAGGGAAGTTGTGGTCCTGCTTTACCTGCTGAAATCGGAAGCACGCTGGTGAGGAGAGTGGGCTGAGACACGATGAAACGGAAGAAAAGCTGAAGATAAATTCCCAGGGTCACTGGATTCAGGACAACCATGCTGGCTGTGGTGTGGAAAGTGTCAAGTTCTCAACGAAGGGCTGCAAGGAGCCTCGCTTATCTGTGCTTTGTCTTCCCCACGCTGTTTGCCTCTCTCTCCCTCTCTCTCTCCCTCACTCTCTCTGCCTCTCTCTCTCCGTCTCTCTCTCTCTCCCTCACTCTCTCTCCCTCTCTCTCCTTTTCCCCATGCCTTTACCAAGAAAGAATGCCAACCATTTCCCACTAAACCTTCTCCGTACTACACAGGGTTATATTTATCTTGAGCACTGGATCAAATGCCCTCATTAAAATTAAGATATCTGAATTTTCTTCTTTGGTGACTGAGGTAAGAGGCCATTGAAGAGGTGATTAAAAAGGCAGCCAGATCTCGAATGTCCACTAGAAGCAGTCCTCAAGGGCAGACAGATTTCCTCATTGATCATTCACCAGTGCCTATCGCCTCGCAGCTGTGGTGTCCAGCAGCATCACAGAATCCATTCGAACCTCTGGATCCAAACTGAATCTCCGTGGAGACAATTCCTTCTGCTGTCAGTCTTTGACATTTTTACCCACTGGGGGACAAATGTAAAGCTGACCCTGGATTTTTTTTTCTTTAATCATCCAATAACACGCGGAGGTGTGGGTGGGGAGATTTTATAGTTTCCAAAACAGCTTTCTCCATAAAAACGTGTTTATCTCTCTCCAGAATTTGCAGCCTTTATCCCATGCAAAGCAGCGCATGAAAAATGAAAAGAGTCAATGGATTGCAAAGTGAATGATTATTGATCAAACTGCATTTGGGAAACAACATCATTGACTTGACCTTTGGCTAGACAAAATTCTTCAAATAAAAAGTGTCACATCTTTCGATGAATCCTCTTATGAGTTTATAAAGACTGTTACAGAGATCCTTAGGTCTCTCTATATAAATAATTAAAAGAATAACCCACATTTTGCTTTGATCTACATAACATACTCCCAGGGCCTCATGGGAGCTAATTCAGAAATGGTGTGGTAGCTCCTGACTCTGGGGTCCAGTAGCTGAGCCTCACTCTGGGGGAAGGTGGGGTTGGGTGAAAGCATAGGATGAGGCGATACCCACGGCGCCGGCACCAGAGGGGCTTGATTCCAGCTCTGCTGTGACCGTGGACAAATTGCTTGATCTCTCTAAGCCTCAGTTTTCTCATACAATGGAGGCGTTCCCCTTTAAAGCCTTGTTGGAAAGGTTAAATTAGGTAACGCGGGATGACTCATACATGAATTTAAAATTGTGTATAGAGACAGCCAAAATGAAACCCGCAGAGCCATGGTAAATGGGCGGCAGATATGGCCACCAACAATCTCTCCCATCCCTGTATGTACACTCCACTCTTCCCAACAAGAGGCGGGGTCTGTTTCCCCTCCCGTCCAGTCTAGGCTGGCCTTGTGACTAGCTTTGACCAACAGAATGTGGCTGAAGTGACACTGTGCCATTTCCAGGCCTAGGCCTTAACAGGTCTGGCAGATTTTGCTTTTGCCTTTTCTTAGAAACCAGCTGCCACATTAAAAAGTCTGGACTATTGAATAGGCCACAGGGAAGGGGAAGCAGCAGGCCCCTGGCTGTCTGGTCATCTCAGAAGAGGCACTAGACATGAGAGTGAGGTCAATTTGGATCATCTGGCCTCATTCAGGTCCCCAGATGATGGCAGTCACAGAAGTGACCAGGGGAGACCAGCTGAAGAACTACACAGATGAACCAGCCCAAATTACAGATTCATGAGCAAATGAATGGCTGTTGTTTTTGCCTTCAGTGTCCTGAAGCCACTAGGTCTTAAGGTGATCTGTTATGCAGCAACAGCTAACTGATACAGGATTTATAAGAAAAGCATGAAGAATATACTTGAGTTACATTCAAAATTAACAGGGCAGTTTAAAGAGAGGGTACGCCGTGTCACTGTTCCCAAAATTTTTAACAGAAGGATCGTGATTGTTGGCCAAGTCCAACCAGGGAATTCTCAGGCTTGTTCTCATTAACTCTGGAAACCTCTGGCCCCAGCAGTGGGCTTTGGATGGCTTGGAGAAGAGGCAGGCTACGTAGTGGGAAGGTAACTTTTGAGTAACTTGGTGCCCGAATCTGAACTTTTACTGTCCAGCTCTGATTCCTCCTGTGAGAAGCAAAGGGATTTCTCCTTCTCTCAGCGCCCAGATTTCACCACTGACCTTGCAGTTGGCACAGATTATGTCACTATGTCCTGCCCGTGACACCTGCTGGTATTGTTTTTGAACTGCTTCTAAACCACCGTATGTTGCTATTTAACCTGTGTTAACGTCTCTAAAGATGAGAGACTGGGACTTCCCTGGTGGTCCAGCGGCTAAGACTCCGTGCTCCCAATGCAGGGGGCCCGGGTTTGATCCCTGGTCGGGCAACTAGATCCCACGTGCCACAACTAAGAGTTCACGTGCCACAACTAAAGATCCTGCACGCGACAATGAAGACCCTGCATGCCGAAACTAAGGCCCGGCACAGACAAATAAATAAATAAATATTTTTAAAAAATATATGGGGGACTGTTCCAGAGCTCTGTGCACCCCTGCAGGCCCCGGGACAGTCCTCGTCAACTAATAGATCCTCAACAATGTCAGTTAATGTGATCCAATCACACCATTGTAAGATGAAAAGAAAGTAGGAAAAGTGACATAAACTTATGCTCCAGCCGTACTAAGCTGTGGGCCAGGGCCTTGTCCAGGGAGGGCTGGGGCGAGTGTGGAGACTGTGGACAGTGGCCTGCATACAGAAGGCTGAATGTACACTCAGGCCACTGGGGGGAAGTCACTACTGATGTAAAGTTACGACGGGAACCTCTACCCTCTGGGGAGGCCCCAGCACAGAGGTATTTATAAGCCCCCAATATTTATTAAATCGTGATTTGTAAATTTCCGTGTCCCATGGACCATGTGTTTTATGAGCCTATTTCACATCAGGTGACCTTAACTGACTGAGGCAGAAATTATTATCTCTCTTCAAACCCTTCTGGAAGGGCTCTGAATCTTTCAGAATCTAATAACACAAGCTATTAGATTTTTCCTGAAAGAAATTATCTGAGATTTGTGAAAGGCTTACACCAATAAAGCCAATCAAAGTTAGAGCCTTCCACCCCAAGCCTTGTAGGTGGGGGGGATACTAAGAAACAATCTGGGGTCCCCATCACTTAACACTTAATATGCACATGCCATTTCACCCAGAGATCCCACAGAAATACTCATTCAACTGCCCAGTGGTTTAGATGCAAGGATATTCATCACAGCCTCAGATTTGAAACAGGCTTTCACTCCATTCAGTGAAACATTATACAGTCATTACAAAGAATAAGGTAGTCTCGGCAACAAATGATGCTGGAAAATTGGTCTTCCATATGCAAAACAAACAAGAATGAACCATAACCCTTACATTGCCCCCTACATAAAAATTAGCTCAAAGTAGATCATAGACCTAAACGTAAAAGCTAAAATCGTTAAACTTTTAGAAGAAAACAGGAGAAAATCTTAGTGGCCTTGGATTAGGCAAATATTTCTCTTTTAAAAAAAATTCTATATATTTAAGGTGAAACAACATGATTTTTTTGATGTACATTTACATTGTGAAATGATTACTACAGTCAAGCTAATTAACATATTCATTACCTCACATGGTTATTTTTTTTCTAGTGAGAACACTTAAGAAGTACTCTCTTAGAAAATTTCAAGTGTACACTACAGTACTATTAACTATAGTCACCATGCTGTGCATTAGAACTCTAGAACTTTTTCATCCTACATAACTAAAACTTTGTTCCCTTTGACCGATATCTTCCCATTCCCCCCCCTCACCCCTAGTGACCATCCCTGCTTCTGTGAAAAAAGATTTCTTAAATAGGACACAAAAAGCACAAACAATAAAAGACAAAAAATTTTCATGGACTCATCAAAATTTTTAAACTTCTGCTCTTCAAAAGACAATGTTAAATTGAAAAGACAAGCCAAAAACTAGAAGAGAACACTTGCAAAACACATATATGATAATGGACTTGTATTCAAAATACATAAATAACTTTTACAACTCAATAATAATGAAACGACCCAATTAGAATAAATGGGCAAAGGTGTGAATGGATACTTTACCAAAGAAGATACATGCATGGCAAACAAGCACACGCAAATATACTCAACATCATGAGTCATTAGGAAAATGTAAATGAAAACCATAGTGAAATACCAGTACATACTACTAGAAGGGCTAAAATTTAAAAGACTGACAATTCCAAGAGTCGGTGAGGTTGTGGAGCAACTGGAACGCTCCTAGTTGCTAGTGGAGTGCAAAATGGCACAACCATTTTGGAAAACAGTTTGGCAGTTTCTTATAAAGTTAAATATACACTTACTACACTACCCAACAATTCTACTCTTTGGTATTTGTTTAAAAGAAATGAAACATATCTCCACCCAAAGACTAGTATGTGTGTGCACGTTCATAACCACTTTATTTGTAATAACCAAAAGCTAGAAACAACCCAAGTGGCCATTAACTGGTGACTAGATAAACAAACTGTGTACAAGGCAACCGTAGTCAGTAACATGTGATGAACTGCCGAAACGAGGGACATGGCTGAATCTCAGACGCATCATGCAAAGTGGAAGGAGCCAACACAAAACGCTAATCCTGCTTAATTCCATGTACACAGCCTTCTGGGAAAGAGAAAACTCTAGGGATGGAGAACAGATCAGTGGCTGCCAGGAGTTAGGGTTGTGAGGAGAAAGTTGACTGCAAAGGGAACTTTTGGTGGTGACAGCAGTGTTCTCTATCTTGAATGGAGTGGTTGTCTCCTATGTCAAAACACAGCAAACTGTACTCTTAAAAACAGTAAGTTTTACTTTATGTAAATTTTCCCTCAGTAGGGGACTTCCCTGGCGGTCCAGTGGTTGAGACTCTGCATTTCCACTGCAGGGGGCATGGGTTCGATCCCTGGTTGGGGAACTAAGATCCCACAAGCCAAGTGTCACAGCCAAAAAAAAAAAAAATTTTCCCTCTATAAACGTGACTTTAAAAAATAAGAAAAAGAGGGCTTCCCTGGTGACGCAGTGGTTGAGAGTCCACCTGACGATGCAGGGGACACGGGTTCGTGCCGC